GGGGTCTGTCTGTATGAGCTCAAGGATCTTCTTTCTTCATTTACACTTCATTTACATTTGCCTTATCATGATTAAACTTAATATGATGACATATACATAAGCACTAACAGGATGTAATTGCCAATTTTGAGCAACAGAAAACGAAATAAACTTGATCAGCCTAGGACTTATGGGAACCTGCTCTTGTACTCTCTGAGATACTTTCGTTTATACAGACGGACGACTCGTTTTGTCATACTAATGAAGAAGATAAATATAGGAGTATATATACTATACATTGGAGGTCTGCTACGCCTCTTCCTGTGTATTACATACTTTTACAATAAACTAGCTACTCTTTTACCCTTTGGGTACAGGGTATACAAAATTGTTTCCGTTCCGCCCACATTCAGCCCAGCTGGGGCTTAAAGGAAGCAGAAGACAAAAATCGAACCAACAAACGTCGGGCAGTTTGCTCAAATAAGGCTAGCGGGTGGGTTGGGGGTAAGTTAGAGTTTTATTACCTGAAGAACTAAAAGGTATACTACTTGCCGGAAGCCGGCAATGCAAACGAGACGAATCGATATGTCCGTCCTTTTGAATCATAACAGCATAATATTTCGTATTACTAACTGCCTTAATGGAAGAGTGCGAACTTTAAAGAGGACGAGTATATTCAAGCATTTTTTACACGTACCTGAAACATTACATTGCCAGCCCAAATGGAGACATTTCGAAGTAAAGCTCCATGAGGCGATGTCTGCTGTACATACTATTAGGAAATGCCATCGCCGTGGTGCCGACAGCCGACCTTGACTGCATAGAAGTATTCGTGCGCGGTAACAAACAAGAAGAAGAAATATAGCGGCAGGTTGATTATGAATTTTCATTTTGTACTTGCAGAAGACCCATTTCGACTGGGCCCAAGTTTCCCCTTGCGAAAGTGAAATGAACTGAAAATCAATATATTTTTGCACAAATAGAAAAGTCAAGTGGGTCAAACGCAAGTGAAAATCAGCACCGAACATGAAAGTTGTGTGAAGTTTTGCATCTTTAAGATGCAAATGGCAGTGGCTACCTTTCAGTTATTTGCACCAACTATTCACTGCCAGCGAGATGATGTGGGAAATTTTGCGGGGGCGTTGCGGCAGCTTGTCATCCGGAAAATACGAAATGGTGGAAAGTAGTAGACGCGTTGGCTACGACGCGTGTGTCGTAAGAACGTGGGGCTGTAACAACCGTCCTATTGCTGACATACTTGTACATATGTCTGTACCTACTTATATAAAACCACACATTTATAATCTACTTTGAGCAACGGTTCCACGTCCGTGCGTGCCTCGACTCTTAGATTGTTGAAAATGACCTTAGGAAGTGAATACATAAGTACTATTATTAAAACTTTTGATCGGCATCGACATAAAATAACCATAATTACAATGCAAATGTAAAAGCAAGACAACGACAAATATCATAATATTATAATTATATCAGAGTAAGTGACCAGACAGAGTCGAGCCAACTTCTTTAATGCATGCTCGATCTGCATAACTGGGTGACTGATTCACTAAACTAGTGTACCCCATTACCTTTAGGGTACAAAATAAGACAAAAATCTTCTTTTCTGAAGTGGGCTCGTGGATTTAAAGAGTCTGACTCGTTCGCATCTAGAATTCAATTTATGTATAATAATCCTATTTGCTCCCTACGTTTCTTGCCGATTTTCAACCTATCAGTTGATTGCATTGATTTGACAAATCCACGTCGATTTTTGTTGTTGCTACCGCTGCGATGACTTTGCCACAGCTGTGCGATTTGCCTCTGTTGTTGTTATTGTTTGGAGCCGGTTATTTCTTTGTCTGTGGCAGGCAGCCAAGCCACCTTAGCCATTTCCACACATACATATATGTATATGTGTGCTGTACTTGTATGTAGTTATTTTGCCGGTTTTATTGTTTTGTTTTATAGTTTTTATACCCTGTAGTCGAAGGGTAATATTTGTATCCAATGTATCTACATATACAAGTATGTATGTATCTACAATGGTGCAAATGTTTGTGTTTGTGGCAGGCAGGAGAAAGCATCTTCGAAACGAAACAACAAATGCGCTTATTCTCAATCAGCATGACGACACAATGCGATATACTTGTGGACATCGATCTGCCTGTCCGTCTGGATGAATGTCTGTATTTCGTTAACGGATAATACATTGTCCAAACTTGGGCGTAGTATCGCTTACGAATATTATAACTATTCTATTCTCCTTTTTGATGCGAAGGGTGTTGCACTGTCGGGCTTGTCCGACTGTAACATTCTGCCTTTGTTTTTGGTTAGGTTTTTGCAGTCATCGCCGACGATTAGTCATCAAAACCATGGCTTATTCTCTGCCCGTTCGAAAACTTTATTGTACTCCCACACACTCACACATACACACGCACACACATACACACACATCCATATACGAAAGTCATTTTGAACCGGCGTGTGTGTTTGGCATTCCGACTGGGAGTATTTCTCATCTATGTATGTACGTATCATTATTTGTACATACATACATACATTCACGTATATGCTGACTCGCCGACTCGCTCAGCTGGTTTTATAACTGGCCAGCTGTATGGAGTCACCTTACAGCTGTTTTTTTTTGTTCGTGCAACACCCACTCATTTATGTATACATATATTGGGGGAGGGGAAAGGGGAATGTTTGCTGGCAGCAGGAAGTGAGGCTTCTTAGTATACATTTGAGGTGGTGCAAATTTTGGAGTTGACTTACACTATGTGTAGTCTTAATTGGGCTTTTTCACTTACTATTAATTATTTGCTAATTGAATTGAACAAGGCTCGTCGCGTGGGCGCCTTCACGCTCCATTTATTTCCAAAATGTTTTTGTTTTTTTTTTTTTTTTGTGAAGTGACGGTTACGCTAGAAGTATAGACCACACAACAACAAATTCAGTTGTTTACTTGCCTAATTAATATTACCCGTAGTACATACAAACTAGGGCTGTCCTAGTGACTGTCAGGGTTTAGCATTTTCACAAGCAATTTTTGCAAGGCATTCACGAAATTCTTTATTTGTTTTCGCTTTCCCATTTATATTATTACCAATCTGAGAATTTAGGACATAATATTATAATATTGCCACGGCGGACAATTCTTTAAATACATTGCGCAATTTTGTGCCAAATTGTCTGAGCATTTAGAAACAGCACTTCATCATCTGGATCTCAAATTAATTTTGTTTGGATAGTTTAATTATCTGTCGTTATGATATAAAATAGTGATTCAATAAGACGGTAAGATACCAACAGTCAAAACCATAAACCAATTACAACAAAAGTTGCTGATGGGGATAATCAATCTCAGTAAGGGGTCCTAAAGCAGGTTTATCCTCTAAGCTCAAAAATACACTACAGAATGTGATAGTGGAAATGGTTTCAATGTTTTATACAGTTCTTATATAACTTGAACAGCTTGAGCAATGCCATTTAAAAGCTGCAATCGACCTGAACGAAATTAATTCATAATAAAAGCGAGTTATAAATTTAAAAAATTTTAAAAAATTCATTACCAAATTAATTAAAATAATTATTCAATTCATAAATACATTAGTATTTATGTACAGTTTCAATAACATAAATTTACATCAGAATCGGGTCTATCGGCGTGTATGTGCGAATTAAATCAACAACAACAGCTGCGTGCAGAGCTTGGGCAGAGATATCATTTATGGCTATAAGTTTATTCATATTTAAACCTTGTGTATCAGTGTTTATTAAATAAAAAATATTTATATATTTTTCTCAATTTTAAAAGAGTTAATATAAAAGTTAATGTTGAAAAATTATTTTTAATATTAGAAATGAATATAAGACATACGGACGAATAATAACCAAATGTAATTACCAAATTTAACTTAAAATTCCAAGAATATCGGGAGTTATGAAAAATCACTTATTGCGGGGGAGTAGGGGGTGCATCAGAAACATCACCAAACTTGTCCTTTTTCAGGTTTAGGAGAATCTGGATACCAAATTAGGTTATTCTAGCCTTCTTTCTGCGATCCTTATGTTCGTACAGACAGACAGACAGACAGACGGACATGGCTATATCGCGCGACGCGTCTTGTCATACTGAGCAAGAGCATATATAGTTTGTAGAGTCTGCTTACGCCTCCTTCTGTCTGTTTCATACATTCGAACAAGTTTAGCGCCCCAAAGGCAACTTGTGACTAGGTCTGATCGAAAGTGTAAGTAAAGTAAGAGCAATCTTGGTAATCTCTTATTTTGATTCGCCGGTCGTCTAGAACCTTTTGACGAAGTTTTCGCCAGTTGTTGCAGTTTTTGGGCGTGCTCGATGTCTCTTAATATCGAAGCGCAATCGTCCACACTTGAACACAGCTGCTCAGGACTTCACAGTTCCATATGATAGAGAAGAGTGCCCATTGACAGCGACGATCTCGTTTTTGATTGGCAAAACAAAACAAATATCTTACGACCGCAGATTTTTCCATTTTTATGAAAGTACTGAACTCGGCGTGTTTATACGTTTGTTGAACGATAACTACAAGATCGATATTCTGAAATTTTGTATTTCGTTGTATTTCGCTTACACATTATGTACATATGTATGTACATATGTATATACATAGTCCAGCAGTCAAAAATACGATCATTTAAAATATAAATAAGTAAGGAATATTTTATGATTAATATTGGCTGGCTTTCATATAGGGGCTTTCTTTTTGAATAATCACCGAGTCGTGTGTTAGCAATATTTCTATTTATTTCATTCATATCCTATTATTTTTGTAGGTTTTTGTTTTGCGACGTTGTTCATTGATGATCGACAGAAACGTTCCCACATGCTTGTTCATAGTATGTACGTATGTATGTGCACATGTACATACATACATATGTATGTATGCAGCCAGGTTTAAAACGTAAATTGTAAAACTATATAGCACAGAAAGCAAAACAACAATGCCAGATAAAGAAGCAGCAAAAGCAAAACCGAATAATTTGCAATACGTTTAAAAATAGTGCGCAAATTGCTATTTTTTACTACGCCAGACAAAATCACAAACAAAAACAAAAACAGAAGTATATGCAACAACGCCATGATAACACCACTGAGAGTACCGCTCGCTAGTCTCGCCTGTCTCTCTCTCGTTCTCGCGATGCTTATCACAAGCAAGCGCTCGCTCTCTTTGGTCTTGCTTCTCCTACTCATGCTGCCCCGTCTCGCCGAGCAGCTGTTGCATTTTCTGTTCTGCCTTAAACGCTTCTTCGTCTAGTTGGCGCTGAGGGCAGGTTTTTGTTTTCGTTCATTGCGGTTGTTGCTGTTAAGTTTTCTGTGTATTTTATTATTTGTAGCTATAATATTGCCATTTTCGTATTCATTGTCTTATTTTAAGTTGTGCCCAACGCATTGGTGCTAGCAAACACTCAGAATACATTCTGCTGCGACATTTTATAACTTCCTGTAAAATACACTCTACATTTGTATGTACATACTTATATTACATTAACCCAAAGGAACACATCCATCCAAGTGCAGAAAAGTTTATAGACAGCCTGTGCACAAGTTCGGTACACTACGGTTTACATATTTCATGTGGTTCTTGTCCAAGCTATTACCGGTCTGAGCACAGTGATTGCAAAACTGTAAAGCCAGCAAAGCTTTTACCGAAAGCGCTTTAGCACATACACCGACTGTTAAATAGAGAAGTCATGAACCGAAAGAGCTTTCCTTGCACACCGTTGTACTAAGTTTGATGTACACAAAAATTTTCGAAGCTGGAAATATTTGAGTGATGGACGTTAAATGCCAAACAAATTTAATAACATATGTACATAAATAGTAGCATTACATATATGAATGACAATTATTTCTGCAGTCCTTTTTACTGGTCTAATTAACGAATAACATTTCTGTTACTCTTTTTCCATTGCAGGTAAGGCATTTCCTCCCAAACTCTTGCTCTATGTGTGTTTGTGTGTGTATGTGAGTACCTTTCCAAATCCCTTCAATTATTAAATTTACATTCTAATGCTTTTCGACAAGAGAACCAACTTTTAACGGCTGAACACATTTGCAATACTAACCCATTCTGGTCACACATTCTTCTGCCTTTCTTGGCAAACTCACTCTTAGCTTGACTTTCATTTCTCTCCTGCAGCATACATTCATCACTACATACATACATACATACATACACACACCTATGTATGTATATATGTGTGCATGATGCCGCAGTCTATGGAGTCGGCTGGCTATTTAGTGTTCATGTCGATTTTGGTAGCTCCAGAAAAACAGGAAAAGCACAAACACAAACGAAACAGACGGAAAGATTACGTAAAACTGTCAAAAATCTAAATACAATGCACAAATAAATTTCGTTTGAAATGGCTAAAACGCACGACTCAGTGACTGGTAGGAGTCGATGAAAGGCGCAGATACTTGTATTGCAACAGCAGCGATTCATTTATTACAATTTCTCGAAGTTTCGTTTTTTCGAGCCGGTTCCACTTGTACTCGGTTAATTTGTGTTCGCTTCCAGAGACTGTCTTTATACTCGTACTATCAAAGGAAGAATGAACCACCTTAATGTTAGCTTCGGTATTTATTTACTTTTAAATAGATCCATTTACATGCAAATGTGTCGGGAGAGATTAGGCGTCACGAAACTATTAAAATGTGTCTCATCTAGAGGTAATTCTCACTTTTATTCCGTTGGTTAAGCGATTTGCCGCTTCCAATGTCGATCTTCCTCCATGCATGTCCATCCTTGCAAACGTATCGTAAACAGGGCGCCAAAGGATCGCTCACCTATATACTCGTATAGTACATATATTCATAATTAAACCGATTCGATGATAGTTTTTCTTTTTAAAAGAGCATGCGGGCTTCAATGCGGGCCTTTTCTTCTCATCTTCTCTTCCTACTTTTCTTCTCTTTCTATTTTTCTTCTCTTGTCCCACTTTCTGTGTGTTTGCCTTTCGTTTTATAGCTGGCGGGTAAGCGAATAGCTCTATTTACCCAATTTTTCCCAATCGACTAACCGAACAAAAAGTAGTATATTGTTGCGTTATTTGGTTTTCGGATGTTGTTGGTCACTTAGAGTGCAAATGCCAGGGCATCCGATAAACTATATTATATACTGTAAACTGGAAAAGTTCGATTTCCCTCTAAAATCGGCACTCCCCAAAAAGAGGTATTCTTTTGAAATTTAAAGTATTGGAATTGTTACAAACTGTTTTAATCGTTTATATCCCACATATCCGACGAGTAAAAGAGAAACGCCTTTCAAATAAGGGAAGCATACTTTTGGGGCTGACTATTATATAGTACATTTGTTTGTAGGCAGTGAACAACAGAACCACTTGAGGCTCCTCGGCAGCTGAATATTTATCTTTTAAAGAATAAAAAGAGAGGTGTAGCGTTCCCAGAATCCTGAATTGTGAATTATTTACAATTGATGCTATAGAAAAGAAAGTTTGCACTTACAACTATTTCTACAACTATGTGTTTATCAATTCCCAAGATCTTGAGAAACTACTGTCTTTTACAGAAATTGCACACTTATTTCTTGTGTGTTTTCATAAAAGTAAAGTCAATATCACTTCCATATCGGAATAAAAACTTACTCGAAGGCAAGAAAGGCGATGTGAAACAGAGCGTTATTATTGTCCAGGCGATAGTTCAGCAGGGCCTTTGGAAAACAGACTCGTATTGCATAGGAATTTGGAGAGTCTTCATACCAAGTTTGGTCATTGTGGGCTCAGTTTCTTAACTACAGGCGTTCATCCAGACAGACGAATGGACATGTCTAGATCGATTTCTATCGTCATTCTGATTAAAAATAGAGATGCATCTTTCCGCTTGTTACATACTTTGCATAAACATAATATACCCTTTTTTCCCTTTGGCTACAGGATATACAGAAGTGATATTTGTTTAAATAACAAGAAACATAGCTTTATTGTGATTAAAATCGTAAGAAGGTCTAGGTTTCAATTACATAAGTCGGGGATCAGGACTTCCTCACTTCAGGAAGTTGGCCCCTTACAAGATCGTTGGGGTCCCTTATTTTTATCAGTTGGCTGACTTGCTCATGCCTTCAATTCCAATACGTCTTCAGAGACAGCGGAGTAGGAGGCTTCGCAAGTGTATGCAGTTGTCGGTTTGGCGTTCTCTTTTCCTTTCCGTTTGGTTGCAAGCCACGCACAACGCTCACTCAACTGCTTCGACGGCTGAAAGCAAAGAAAAAGCGCGCCAAAAATTCCACTCTCCCCCTGCTCACGCGCATCTGAGCGGCCGAAACACAATCATGTTTGCGCCAATGTATCTGCATCTGTATCTGTATCTGATGAACATAATGTGCATTTCATTTTGCGGCAGCGCTAATGGCAGCAGTTGCGGACAATGAATGCACACGTGAGCGAATATGTATGTACAGATGTACATATGTCAGTGCATTTATGTAAATTTTGGCTATGTTTTTGTTATGCAACTGTGAGACAGACAGACAGACAGACGGTCTGGGCAGTGGGGCGGGAGCAGAGCAAAGGACGAGGCTGGGATTAATGCGACCAATTAAAATGCCAAGGTGGACTAAAAGATAGGCACAGATACACACACACAGTTGTACATAGTTGCTGTTATTATTTTAATCTGCCACATTACCCGGATGTGTCATGAGTGACTGAGTGCTGGCTGCAGTGTGGCATTTGCTGCTGCTGCCACTGCTGCTGCTTGCCACAGCGATAGTTGTTGCGACAAACGGGAAAGTTTGTGCGCGGTGCCTGTGCCTGTGCCTGTGCGATTGCCAAATGCGTTGTGGCGGCTTTTGTGGCTCGGCTGCTGCGTGTCCGCTTTAGATTCGCTTTTCACGCCCCGTTGGCTTTTATTTATAGTTTATATGTTTAGATTTTAATGCCCGTAAGCCGTGATCCGAAATGGAATTGGTCTGCCGTGTTCTCTGGAGAATGGCAGAGTGGACGATGAACAATTTTTGATTGAGAGCTCGCAACAATGTACATATTCGAGATGTTGCGCACAGTCTTTCTTTCTGGTTAGTGGCACTTTTGCACTTTTTGAGCTCACGTGCAACCGGGCACCTGCAACCTGCAACCTGCCACATTTATCACAGCAGGCACCCACCGCTTCTTGCATAGACGTCTGACGCCGCGTCGTGCCGAGGCGCCAGTAAATTTTGTTTACATCGGGACTTTAGCTGCCGCGAATCAGACCGCATCAACACGTCGTTGCAAGTGTTGCGTAACATGCCGCACTTCCACTGATCGCGAAACTGTGCAATATTCCGCCACTTTGGAAAAGATCCGTAGATCCATCTTATATTCCTTTAGAACTCATGTTTTGGGAGCCATTGCTCTAGTAGTTTCTACGTATTTACAAAATATCCAGGAAGAAAATGTGCTATGGTTGATTGCTTTCTACCATTTTTGTTTTGCGCTCGATCTGATTAGCACTCCCTGCACTTTCAAACGCATTCTTGGATGCTCATCATATCCCATATCCAGTCCTTCCCCTCCCAAAACGTATTTTAGGGTTTTATTTTAAATCTATAATTAGACTTACTTATATTTTTCTGCTTTTATATTTCAATTTCGCGTCACTGTGCATTTCTCAACACTACCACTGTAATTCTCCCACTGCTCTCCAACAATATATCCACCAACTGCTTCCTGATTGCGTTGCACAGCTTGGCCCAAGCACCGATCATGCCCAGCAGCCGCAAGCGAGCTTTTAGCACCCCACACGTCGTGCCCGTGTCCATCCCCCTGGCCTCTGGCTTCAGCACAGCAAGCCAAGACAACTTCACCAGAATGCAGGGAGCTGCCAGGCCAATAGTGCCAGATGATAGCCGATTGAAACAGAGCCCATACTACTACGACAAGTCGAACTCTGGTCGCACCTCCTTCTGCGTTGACGAGTCCCTCTGGCCAAGTGTGGCCCAGCGGGCCTCCGACACCAATATCTACACAAATCTTGCTCTCGGCGACGAGCGGTACAAACTGCCCCAACGCCTCGATGGTGCTGCAGACGAGGACTACGAGGAGGCCATTGACCAGTTCTCACCCACCCTCTATGACAATGCGAACTCGTCGCACAGTCGTGCCATACCTATACCCAATAGTCCGCACCGACGTCTGGCCGGCGGCGAACGGTCGCCCAACTATGTGGCCTTTAGCGCCAGCCCCACCGCCTATGCCCATCCGTATTCACCCTTTCTTGCCGGCTCTCCTGAGGTGCTCTCCCCACCTGTGGGTGGTGTGCCAGTATCGGGGGCCTCCAGGCTCTCCTACAGCTACGATCCAGCGTACGGCGTTACAATCAATCGGCTGCAGATACCACCATCGTCGCATTCCCAGAGTTTTGGCAGTTGGCAACAGCACCCGCACCCGAACCCGAACCCTCGCCCGCGCACACCTTTGGAATGTGCCACGGCCATGGCGGCAGCCGCTGCAGCTGCCACACTGAACAGGTCGGTTTGATGCCCAGGGTTCCAAATTTGGTTACATGTGTGCACTACTATCTAACGTTTTTCCATATCTATCTATGTTTGCTCTGTAAATTATTTGAAAACCCTTGCACACCCGTTCTTTCGTTTGTTTCCCAACATCTGCCTTGCTCACTTACCCAAATAACAAAGCGTTACTTGCAACTAACCGAGCATGGAATGGTATAGAATAAGTCACTATCCTAAACGTTCTTAACGACCAATTTGAAATGCATGACACACATTTTTAGAGCACCATTTTGTTCACACATCTTAAAACCCAACATTCAATTCAATTATTTACGTATTACTCCGCCCCACCTACTATTTTAACAAGTGATGCACCTAGTTGAAAAGGTAAAGGCTTTATTTCTTGTTGGAAGGGTTTGAAAGTTTTGCAATTCGAAAGCTACATGAGCTACACATTGCAATTGCACAAATTATTCAAATTAATACAATTCTTCACTTAAACTCCATCCAAATCGCACAATCCCACGAAAAGTTATTAGTGAGACAATTTTACCTCAAATCCATAAATTAACAGTACCAGCGGGCCGCCGTCCTTCTCATTTGGAATGTCCGAAATGTTTATAGACGGGCGATAGAGGCGACCTCCAACATTAACCAAATTCTGGTAATTCTGCCATATCGATATTATAGTTGTCGTTCGATAATCGATTAAGTAAGGACGCTGTCTATGGGGACTCTTCCCCATCGCTTGCAACTGTTAAATCCTGGGCAGCTGACCTTAAATATTGACGTTCTAGCTTGTAAGGTGAGTGACGTCTGGGACTCCCAAAAAAATTGTACAACTGGCAAAAACCCCGTCAAAATTCATCAAATGGTTCTGGACGACGGCCAATTTAAAGTGAGAGAGAGATATCGAAGATCAGCAAGATTTGGAAAAACTAATTGGACATGAGAAGCCTCTTGGCACGTTGGGTCCTGCGTTTTGATCGAAAACGTATTCAAATGAACTTTTCAAGTCTCTCTGACAATTGCGCATCGCTCCATGTTACACTTTTAACTGCTTCAGCACTCTCCCATAGCCCCATAGTTGCTTCTTCTTAATCCCTCAGCTCTAAGTTATGCTTGGGAAACAGAATATTTCATAAAATGAAGTGAAGTTTCGTATACAACCATTTTAAATAACAGGACGGCGAATACTGTTTGAATGGGCTAAAGAGGTGGGAGAAGTGTGTTCTAAGTCAACTATGAGAGACTATGTTGAAAACAAGAGCAAACACTTCGTTCTATACTGTTGTGTGATATAGTAGAACGATTTTGATAGTGGAAACATTCTATAAACAAGTCATAAATACTTAAATTGTCTCCGATATCCCTGTTAAGCTACTAACGAGTTATTCTTCCCCCGATAACTTCTATGGCAACTACGAATAACAAATAAAATAATATATGGTTTTTAATATACTTGCCCCCGAAAAAATCTTCTAGTTAGGCAGCCATTACACTAACCAGATCCAGAGACTAATATTTAGCTCGCGGCTCCGTGGTAAATGAAGAACTAATATTCAGCTTACGGTTGCAGAATCAGGAGAAACAAAAGCAGGCTAAAGGCTCAAGCTTGTGCTGCACCTCGCATCTGTATTTTACTTTAATTCTAGGTAGAAAAATATAAAAGGTATCTCCAATGTGTACTCACGTGGTTATAAAAGGCGAAATCTATGTCGAAACAGAAATTGGCAAGGAAATAACAAATATACATATGGCTTTAATGTTAGCTTCAAATGGTCCATTAAACTTGTATCGAGAAATTACAAACAATACAGAATAGTCGCTTCAAGTTGAAGATGTTTTCTCTCTCGTTGAAACCTGAGCATTCTTCAGTTAGTTAATACGAATTGGCTCTGGTCGATGTTCGCTAAGTTCGTATTTTTGGTTGCAGCTTAATGACGCATCTGTCATCAGCTGTTTATCAGCTCCGATTAAGAGCAATCTGGAGGCAGGTCTTGAGGCACCCTTTACCTAAAATCAAGCCATGGGTCGGCCAAGCCTTGCGTACACCCTCCTTCGCGTCCATCTGCAACTTCCTCCGCGAAAATGAAACGCGAAAAATATTTTGATAAAGTGCGTTGCGTCGTTAGCGTTTCTTGACCGGCTTGCCTGCTCGCAAATGATGTCATTTCTAAAGTTGAGCTGTAACATACATACATAAATATATATATACACATACATACATGTATGTGCCTCCCTGCCTTCGTGCTCAAATTTCTTTTCGGTCTTTGTTTATATTTTGTTTTGTTCGATTTATAACTTTTGCTCTACTACAGCGATTGATGGAAGACATGTACATACAAGTATGGATGTATGTATGTATGTATTTACGACGCGTATGTATGTATGTATATGCGTATGTTTGTCTCGTTTGAGGATGACGATGCGAAACATTCGCTTGATAAAAGACAATTTATTTATAAATGTGTTTACCACAAAAACACAACCGGTTGGGGAGTTTGTTTTGAAACAATCGGCGAAGGCAAGTGAATGTTTTTTAAAGAGGAGCAGTTTTTCTTAATTATCATAAACCCACCATACCCACCAGTATTTGGAACTGCGCCTCAATATACGAGTATACGTGTGTGTCTGTTCTCTGAAAATAATAGGATGGTATTCAAATCAATTCCACTTGGTGAACTGACCTAGTTCTAACTTCCATAATGCACTTATACTTAAATACTTTATACCCCGAACGAATGTTTTAGAAAGAGTGTCCGGATAAAAGAGTTGTCCTTTAAGGGAGTCTTCACTGTATTGTGCAATTGCCTGTGATATCACGTAAGAAAGTGCCTTCTGGTCCCATATGAGTTCTTGGTCAAGTACAATCAGTTTGCTTTGTTTTGCTCCCTGGGATGGTCCTCCTAGAAGGTGTCCTTTCCGGTTACCTTTCGAAACACCTAATAAATGAGTCAGTTTCTCAGACATATACTACACACAAGCTTTAGTTAAAGCAGTGTTAAGTAAAGCGAAACATATTTACTACACTCCATAACAAAAAGTCAATTGAGTTCAATTTAATTCTCACTTGAAATCGTTGAACCATTATTTCTGACCCAGTACGTGTGCTGCTCCAAGGAGCACAGTGTTAACAACCCTTGTGAGAGGCGTATCGAAACGGGCTCGTGATTCTGCAACTGCGCAGTTAGGACTCAGTACACTCAGCGACCGGGCGAGTGGATTCAAGTTCAAGGTCAGAGCACAAAAGGGGCTTTGCATTCTGTAATGAATGCAGGCAAGAGTGCAGGATCGCAGCCGGAGGTATTCTTTGATTGGATTTGAGTTTAATGTCTACAGGAACCTTTGTTGCCCGACGTGAAGAATGTATGTGAAGAATCATGTTTGCGGGCTCGTCGACCGACCTGGACTACATACATACCCGTATGTAGGTATACATATATGTATGTATATACATATGTACATACTTGTATGTATGTATGGTATGAGCGCTTCGGTGTGTGATGATGTCAGCGTCTATTTTTGGCAAAATCGCTTGCAGCCAACAGACCAAAACACAAAGGCACAAGCAACAAGCCAAAAATAATACTCAATGAACGCAAATGGCGAACAACAAAATGCGAAACAACACCAAAACGACCAAAATTATAACATAAAACAATAATTGGGCAAACGAACAGAAACCAAAAAGGAACGCAGAGTACATCCGAAACTAATGAGAGTCTGGGGACCGATAGTGGCCACAATTTTTAGGTGTAACTTCACTCAGTTCTCGAGAGTCTGGAGAGTCGTGTCGTTAACATTTTTTCACAAGAGTGTTCCTAACTACCTTTGGAAGAGGCACTCATACACAGACGAGTATGTACTCGTACATGTGTATATGTTTTTCTGATCAGGCTCCTGCGTAGGAATGCCTCAACGCATACACTCTAATTGTAAACACAATAAACTGTGCAACCATTGCTTTACAGGGTGCTTGAGGGGTGCTTTTTCATGGCTTTATCTCTCGCTGTTGGGTCATCGCATACACATATACATTCTGCGTGTGTATGTAGGTTCGTAGCTCTCGCTGGTACCAGTTTTTACCAGATTGCAGCGGTCTATTTGGCTTGTTAGCTCTCAAGGTAATACTTTTATGCCTATCAACTAGGACAGTTTTGTTTAAACTTCTCCTTTGGTGTGTTACATGTATACGAATAATATATTCGTGTGTATTTAGTAGGGTGGTGGTCGGTGTTACGCTATCTGTCTCAAACTATTCTAACTTGTAGAGTAAATGCAAATATCATTGAATTTTAAAATGTGTACCCATGTACATAAAAATTATTAATAAAATTGAAACTCAAACTAATCATTTATTCTTTTCTTTCAGGTATGTGTTTAGTTATTCTGGCTTCTTAATTGTAATCGGGTAAGACTCAATTACACTAATATTAGTACGCTTAAGTCTAGAAGAAAACTAAATACGAACTATTAGTTGTTGTTGAATAAATGTTTTACCAGCTGATGGCAATATTTGCAATTTTTTTCTAATCTACCATTGAAACCGAGGCTCCAGAAAAACTTTGATATTAGGAACCAAAAAATTATAAAAAACTAAAGGGAAGGAAGTATTGGAATTTCAAATTCGTATCTTCCGAAGAGCGTCAGAATGTTGTTTAGCCCAGAAGGAAGAAAAGAAGGCTACCCTTTATCGGTAACGTAATAGATTTTTGACGGACACGGACAGTGCTGTCATAAGTTTTTGAGCAAAAACGGCTAAATTGCCACAAAAAAATAAAGCTGAAAATAGCTAAATCCAATGCAAAATAAGCAAAAAAAAAAAACAAGCCAGCTTTAAATTTATGGAAGTATCTGTTTTTATGTTTTCATATTAATTCTATATTCTTAATTCATAATTTATAATAATAATATGAGATTCTTTTAAAAATAATAATAGAAAATTCACATTAAAATCAAGCTAAAAATCATCTAAACTCACAGCCTATTCGTCAGGATAATTTTGTGTTTAC